TACCCCGTCCACGACACAGGCTGTCAGAGATGAGGAAGAACACCCGCTCCATAACTGACTGCTATGTGGCAAGATGGATCAGAGGCCACAGCTCGGCCTTATCAATATGTGATACAGAAAATGCAGTGAGGGAGTAGAAGAAATCCAGTATGAGAGTATTACTGCAAATGTGAGAGACTAGTCAGATCTGTGCTCCTGTCTCTAAAAGAGCTGGTGTGAGACTGCATGTTACTGACAGATTTATTTTAGAAATGTTTTATATCCTGCTTTTAAAAGAGAAAAATAAAGCAAAAGCAGTACACTAAGCAATTGCAGTTTGGTTCTTGCAATTTAGTTCTTGGAAGATAAATATGCAGTACTGCAATACTGCCTCCTTGCCTTTCAAGAAAGAAATTGCTTTATTGGATCACGACAGTGGTCCATCTAGTTCAGTACCTCATCTTCAAATACTGAACCTTAATATAGCAACAGAGGAGGCAAGAAATATTCCACAGAGAAAAAGGCCAGCATACAACCAAGACTAAAAATTTATCTATTTTAAAAGCCTTTGATATTTCCTGACTCATTTATTAATAATTTGCTATTTATACAACCAGCTAGGTTTGTTGAGCTGTGATTGTTTATTATTTACTTGTGAAGTTCGCCAACGTAAAGCACCTTCTGCAGCTTCGGCTTCATTTTTTCACATAGGCATAGAAGATTACCAAACACAGGAGTCAAAAAAAGCTATGTGTGCTTTCATCTGAGAGCTACCCTGTACCATGGCTTTCCCCTTGGCATGGTTAAAGGGATGCTCACAGCTGAGACGGCTGTATACAACGCTGTCCTGGTGCCAAGAGACCTGTGTTCAAGTTTCCTATTACAAGATCAGCAAGATGTGAGGTCAGACAACTAGAAAATGCAAGCTATGAACATAGTAGATCAGGAGGTTTGATAAGCTTCAAAGATGAGGGGAAAAAAAAAAACCAAAACATTTTCTAACTTTTTACACATGCAATTATATAAGTGATTCTTCCATGCCACAAAACATACAGGAGCTTCTCTTACAAGTGTTTAGTTAAGGACTAAGGCTCAAATCCGTACAAAGCATTTTCCAGGGCTACTTCAAGCAACAGCTACAGCTGTAATGCAATTCTACAAATCACTCTACTGATGTATTCAGACAGAAGAAAAAGCTAAGAAAGCTTTTTTCAGTGACTTCATCCCATTTTATCTAACTATGTAGTGCCATGCCAGACCAGGTAGTTATGCTAACTACCATAACTAGTAAAGCATAAGGTCTTTGCTTTCTCCTTTCTATCTCCAAAGTGTTTTTCAAAACTCACAACATGAAAGAAGCTGTGTGAAGATGCCTTGAATTATTTATCTTAAAAATGTGACTGTTCTGCACTAGTAGTATGAAGAGGTACATTAGGTGGCCATTATTATTTTGTTATCTCTTTTGATAAATAACTCACTACATATGGCATACAAGAGTGGCTGGCTTGGGTATATAAAGAAACAAAGCATAAACCCCACTATCTCCCCAAGTTCTACCAGGAGCAAAAGGAGATAGCTCTGTAGCTGTCACCAGGAAAAATGAACAACATTACTGTTGATGTTTCCACATTCATTCTTATGTCTGGTGAATGCTATGTGTGTGAACTTAGTCATGAGGAAAAGTGTTTCAAAGTTAATATTAACAGTTTATAAAACCAAATCACTGAGCCAAATTTCCTGTTGAAATAGCCCTAAGAGTGAACATGTGTTTTTAAAAAAAATTCAAATGTGAAAGTGTGTGCTTACATTAGACTCTATGAAGCTGACTGAGTATAGTATGTAATTGTTTTCTCATGCTTTAAAAAAAAAAAAAAAAAGCAAAATCCTTCTAAGTACACTCTTAAATTCAGTGATCTAAGGATAATGGAGCAAATACTCCAGCTGGTTTAAAATGTCAGAGCTACAGCTACTCCAAGGGAGCAATGAAAGTCTGCATCTGTTGGGGATCTACCTCAACACAAAAATGATCATGAACAGGGACAGGTCAGTATTCAGTTCTGCTGGCATAGGACCTTTCTGTTACACTCATCCTTACACAACTTTTGCCTGAATGCCTTCAAAATTCAGCATTTCAAAAGGTAAATGAAAAATGTATTTTCTAATAAAAAGCTGTTGGTACCTGAATTACTTGGACATGCAATAGAAAAATGATGAAAGACATTTAAATGAGATGTTCAAATACAGACTGGAAATATGAAACTGAAGACTAATTAATTAGATTGTAGGGTCTTCTGTTGCTTTAGCCTCTGTATTACCATGCAGTCTTTGTTTACTGCCATTTATCTTCTTTGTTTGATGACACTTGACTAATAAATACATTGATGAATTGCATCTGTAAATGCCATCCATACATCACAAAAATAGGATGTACTCAGTGCTTCTGGCACATTGATGCTAAAGGATTTTGTTTTATTTGAACTTTCAGTACTTAACAAAGGAAATATTACTGCTCTGCTGGATAAATTTCCTGATTTTTATTTTAATTTTCAGTGAGCAAACAGCTGCAGAATAATGTGACTTAATGAAGCATTTCTAATAAAATCCTGCAGAAGATAAAACTGAGGCATAGAACCGCTTGCTCACTGATAGTTGCATCGTTCAGAATAATTTTTCAAGATGGTGATCACATTTCTGTGTAGATGAGTATTAGGTATTGTGATTTTCTGTCTTCCAAGTCAGTGATTTCCTTTAGTGAGATAAGTAGTTTAGCACTGTTGCATTACTTATTTATAGTAAGCAAAACACACAACATAATAAATGCAACATCTTTCTAGTACATTATTTAGGCTTTACACTGGTTGGTAAGTAGCAACACAGACAGCAATAAATTTTGGTGTGAAGATGCTCAGATCTGAAAAACTTCATGGTAATATTTTGCTTACCAAAAACATACTGCCTATATTTGTAAAGATGCCCTTTATCAAGTCTGTCATCATCTGTGATGAAATTATAAAACTTCCTGGCTGCTACATTTTTCTCTGCCACAACAATTCAGTGTAAAGTATTATTTGCTTTATTTAAATCTAGATAGGGCTCAATGAATCATCACTTTGCAAGCTGCCAGTAAAACAATCTCCAATATCCATCTGTACACACATCTATTTACTTTCATTCAGAACAAGTTTTTCATGTATTCCCCACCAGAATAATCAAGCGCTCTACAGGCATCCACACAAAAAAAGCTGAGATCCCTCAGATCAAAAGAGAGGTAAAAAAGTTACCCTATGTGTCCAATATGATTAAAGATATGGACAGCTTAGTCATCATTCCCTGATTAAAACAGCAAGACAGAATCAAGATTTTATCTCAGTCACCCACTACCATCAGTGTATCTAAAATTAATATCACATTTTTGAAGGACCTTCTATGTATCAAAAAATATGTAGAACCAATGAGCAGTAAATCTGATTTGTTGTATCAACTGAGCAAAGCTTTCCACTGAAATTATGGTACTTAGGTAGTTTACATTTGTAAGAATAACTACTGGAAATTGGGACTATGTGAAACAAAACCCACATGGTTTTCAATACTGTCTCAGCAGCATCAGCTCTCTGAAATAAAATATAGATAGTGAAATTTATATGAATTACGTTACTAGTGTTAATTATACGCTCACAAAACAATTCAGTCATCAGTATGAGATGACAGCACAATTACTGTGAAAAAGTATAATGAAACTTGTAACCTTTGCCACCTCTGATAAAAACACCTTAGTATGCTCTTTCCCAACTTCAGCTTAGCTATCCTCCTAGTACCACTGAACTACTGATTAGGTGGTAAGACAGAGAAACCAGATAACAATTATCATTTAGTCAATAGTAATTTGTATGTATCCACTGTGGTGCAAAGACCCTATGACCCCAAATCCTTTATGGGGTTTTCAGAGATAGGAGTTGAGTATGTTTATTATTTAAATTGACAGTTCTGCAGGAGTCAAAGCACAGTTCTTTAAATACCGAGCCAGTGTCTACTAGGGGGAGGGAGGTAGAACTGAGGTACTTGAAAAAAAATACTGATAAGCTCCAGGCAAAAGCTGGAAAGAGAGAACTGTAACTACACATATAATTTAAAATGCTTTAAGCAATAACTTTAGCTCCCGAAGGAATGAAACATACAGAAGAGCCATGTGTGGCAACTCCTAACAGGGCAGTGCAAGCTCTTGCTCTTTATTCTTTGCATTGATAACCTGGTGTCCAATCCTACAGCTCCACAGGAATAAAGCAGGTTATTTTAAAACTTTCTCTTGCTAAACTATAAATGGGATGGAATAAGGGAAAAGCCCTCTCTCTGTGGCATACAGAACCTGCAACATAAATTTAGTAGCTAAATAAACTCACTGAGATGCAAAGTAAGCAACGTGGATAGAAAAGGTATGTTTTATACTATATACCCACAACTTGGAGAGCACTACACATAAAATGAAACGGAGCCATGATTCTTCCCTTTGTGGCTTTTTTTGTTTGTTTGTTTTTAGAGGACGCATAAAGCGACTGCCCGCTCCTTCAGCCGCTCTCTTGAAGGCGGCCGATAAAGCGTCTGGGCAGAGGAACCCCCAAGTGCCGAAGGTCCTGTGAGTTAGCAGTCAACCTTTTCATAAAAAGTTGAAAACCGGGTGGGTTCCCCTGCTCCCCCCGCATCCCTCTCGGCTCTGCTGATCTATTCTTTTAAGTAAAATTAAAGAAAATTATAAGGGAAAACAAAAGTCTTGAGAGTCGCCCGGCGAAAGGCTGTAGCCCGCTGCTCCAGGTGCCCAGCAGAAGGACGGCAGAGCAGCTCTTCTTCACATCCGCCTTCGTCCAACTTTAGGGCAACGGGAGGGCGCAGCCGCTCCTCACACCGCGCACCTGGCCCCGCCGCCCGCGGGGTCTCCGCCAGCCGCCAAAGGCATCTCCCGGCGGCCCCGCCAGCGCCCGGACAGACACACACACAGACACAGACCCTGGAGCGCTCCGCTCACCTACCTGCAGTCCCGATTCTTGCTAGAAACGCCTAGCGATCGGCCGCCTCCCGTCCGGGGGCAGCTCCAGCCTTACCGCCCGGGCATCG